AAGCTGCGCCTGACCATTGTGGACACACCGGGCTTCGGTGATGCTGTCAACAACACTGAGTGGTGCGACCCAGGGCACATCCTCAGCATGGGGAGGGGAATGGAACGTCCCCAAAGATGGGGATCTGGGGATGGGGATGTGTGCGGGCAGCCCCCGGTGGCTCGGTGATACTATGGCTTATGCTGTCCTTGGGACATGATACTGACCCTAGGAGGAGGCGTTGAGCCTGGAGATGGTGAGTTTGGGGCTGGGGAAGGGCCGTGGGGTGGTCACCTCCCTCCCAGCCCTCTGTCCCCACAGCTGGAAGCCGGTGGCTGACTACATTGACCAGCAGTTCGAGCAGTACTTCCGCGATGAAAGTGGCCTCAATCGCAAGAACATCCAGGACAACCGTGTGCACTGCTGCATCTATTTCATCTCGCCCTTTGGCCACGGGTAGGGGTATCCCCATCCCCTGCCCACCTGGGGCTAGCAGCAGAAATGGGAGGGACGGAGAAGGGCTCAGGGCTCACGGGGCTTCCCGCAGCCTCCGGCCCCTGGATGTGGAGTTCATGCGGGCGCTGCACCAGCGCGTGAACATCGTGCCTGTGCTGGCCAAGGCTGACACCTTGACACCTGCTGAGGTGGAACGGATGAAGAATAAGGTGAGGTCCTGCCCCGGACTGTCCCCTCACCTCCTGCTCCTCTCGTCTGGTGGCTCTTCCAATCTCCTGCCTGGGCTTTGTGTGGAGCATTCTCTGTGTTCCCAGCAGGGACAGTCCCCAAGGACGTGTCTCTCTGCGAGTGGTGGGATGTCTGTGTCACCCAACTTGGGAGCAAGCGTGCTGGGTGCATGAGGGACATGGGGTGTGTGGCCCTGTCCCTTCCTATGGAGCAGAGCCCTGCCATGCACTGGCTGTGTTCTTCCAGATCCGGGAGGAGATTGACCACTATGGGATCCGCATCTATCAGTTCCCTGAGTGCGACTCGGATGAGGATGAGGAGTTCAAGCTGCAGGACCAAGCATTGAAGGTGGGTTGGGTTCCTCCAGCACTGTGGAAAGGGGTCAGAGCCCCACAGAGTGGGGGCATCTTGTCCTGGAGTGGACCTGGGGCCAAGGAAGCCATGTCACATTCATGGATGCTGGACATCCCATGGAGATCTTGTCATTGCCACCTGCAACTTGGGGGGAAGGGATAGGATGGGGATGGAAACGGAGATGGGGATAGGGATGGGGATGGGGATAGGGGAAAACCATGCTGTGATGCTGCCACCCCATAGACAGTGCTCCAGGGTATCAGTGCTGGATATGGGCAGAGAAATGCAGGTGGAAGGTTGTGGGCCACAGCAGCAGTGCCAAGACCTGCTCTAATTCTATGACCATTCCCTTGCAGGAGAGCATCCCCTTTGCTGTCATTGGCAGCAACACGGTGGTGGAAGCCAAGGGACGGCGTGTCCGTGGGCGGCTCTACCCCTGGGGCATCGTGGAAGGTAACGTTACCAGGACGCATCCCTGTGGAGATGGGGGCACCTCGTGCTCCTTCTCCACGATCTGGTCCCCATGTGGGTGCATTTGGGGTCCCCTGACCCCTGCTTTTCCCCCCACCCCCTCAGTGGAGAATCCGTCTCACTGTGACTTTGTGAAGCTGCGCACCATGCTGGTGAGGACCCACATGCAGGACCTGAAGGATGTGACGCGTGAGACGCACTACGAGAACTACCGCACGCAGTGCATCCAGAGCATGACCCGCATGGTGGTGAAGGAGAGGAACCGCAAGTACGGGCCTGGGAGCAGGGCTGGGCTGTGGGAAGGCTGGGGCAGCCCCTCCTCTCCTTGGTTTGTCCATGGGACGCCCTGTCACGGTGGGTGGCCTCGCCTTGGTGGCTGGAGGGGTGATGGGAACCCTGTGTTTATGGGCTTTGGGAGAGGAGCAGAGCAGGCAGCAGGTGCCAGGGCTCTGCCGTCATTGCCAGATTGATGGCGCTTGCATGCCCTTCAGCACCCCAAAATCTGGGTGCCCAATGGGCTGGCAGGGTGTGGGGACTCTGCGGGGGACCTCGTCCTTAGCTTTGGGCAGTCACTGGTGATGGCCATGGGTGCCCTAAGCTTGTCTCTCCATGTGCACTGGGAGAAGGAAGCAGCCCTCGGCGCTGCGGCTGTGCTGCTCCAACTGCTCCGCAGACTGAGCTGGGGACGGGCCCGTCCCCCCTGCCACCACCGCTGCACCCCCCTGCCCCTCTATAAAGTGCTTGCTGGTACCCAATGCTGTCTTGGTCCTTCTGTGCCTGGCAAGGGCTGTGCAGAAAAGCACTGGGGGGGGTGCTCCTGGGCCGACCCTGCAGCCACCCACCCATTGCCCAGATTGGCAGCTGGTTGCCCTTGGTGCAGCACCGATGGGAGGATGCTGTGCCCTCGTACTGGGGACACCCAACTCATTTGGGCAAGGGACACCCTGTGCCACTGTCACCAAGCACCCACCTCCAGCAGGAAAGTGTCCCATGGGGATGGGTGCGCCAGGAACAGCACAACTTAGTCTCATCTTAAGGCACACAGAGCAAAGCGCCTCATCCTGGGGTGAAGCCAGCTCAGGGCGCAGCCACTGACTCCTTTAAGAAGAGTCCCTGGGGCAGGTTCCCTGGGCTGGTGGCATTGCTCGGCCCTTGCCTGGTTCCATACCCAGTGACCTTCCCAAAGTGACCCCCAATGGTGAGAGCAGTGATAATGGGTGGTGGTTTCCCAAAGCAACTCAGGACGCAGTCAGAAGCCAGCCCTTGCCTGCGCACACCCACACCTACCCCAGTGCCTTGGGGCAGCCGTCCCCTGTGTCAGCTTCACTGAACCCATCACCGCTCCGCTTGTCGCTGGCGCATGGTGACACGCGTGACCACTGTGAGTGACAGTGATGTCCCCACCATGTGTCATCCAATGGGGACCCTCCCCATGCCCTTGTCATGGCAGAACCCATCGACTCAGCTCACTTCAGTCCTGCCCAAAAGGGTGGCCTGGGGGGGTTGGGGGGATGCGCTGTGCTGCAATGCCTGTCCTCAGCGATGCTCTGGGAAAGCTGCACTGCCAGCAGCTGTGGGACACCAGGTTGACAGTGCTGTCCTCAGACGTTGCGTGGGGCTTGGAGGTGTTTGGTGAGCTGGGAGAGCTCGAGCCTGGGGGGGTGGGAGCATCCTCACCTCCTCTCTCTGCTCTGCAGCAAGCTGACACGGGAGAGCGGCACGGATTTCCCCATCCCTGTCATCCCCCCGGTGCCGGATTCAGAGACGGAGAAGCTCATCCGAGAGAAGGATGAAGAGGTGAGCACTGAGCTTCCATTCCTCCCCCCCGCTGTCCCCATGTGCTGCCCCCAGCCCCAGCATGGGACACCCTTTCTGCAATGCCCCACTCAGGGTGGGGAAGAATTTGAAGAAAATTGTAGGTTTTGCCCCAGAACACAATTCCTGGTGGTCCAGACTTGGCAGGCTTGATCAGGGGAGGTGACGTGGCCATGGGCAGCACATGGCGATGCCACCCTCCCTGTTGTCACCTCTTTGTTCCTTTCCAGCTGCGGCGGATGCAGGAGATGCTGCAGAAGATCCAGAAGCAGATGAAGGACTCCCACTAACCCCCTCCCCCAGCCCCTCCTCCTCCTCCTCCAGCCGTGCCCCACGCGGATCAGAAATGTTTACATCATGCTCCATCCCAGCCAAGCTCTGAGACTCGGTACCAACAACACCTCTCACCTTAAGCTGCTGCAGTGTCGCCTTATGGACTTGGGGATGGCGAGGGGATGGGGTGCACCTCCCAGGTTCCCCCAGACATTGTCCCAGTCCCTCCTGCGTCCCCTGGGCTGGGCGCAGTGTTGTCCCCACGGCTTTGGCTCCCTCTGTGTCCCTCCTACCCCAGGTATCTTCAAGAGGCCACAACTGCTCTATTGCCCATGGTCTTGTCCCTGCCTGCTCACGCTGTGAAGGAAGAGGGAAGGAGAGGACTGCTCCCAGTCTCACAAATTGGGGTCTGTACCACTCAAGATAGGGGTGGAAGGGAAATCTGAATGACAGAAGTTCAGTGGCTCCTGGAGGCCACAGGTCACCCTTGGCCAGGGTCTCCCCTGCCAACAGAGGAGGTTCTGAAGACCAACGGCGTCCAGCCCTGTGTCCTTGTCACATTCCCTGTCCCAACGGAGCATTGTCCCATGGGAGCATTGGATGGCTCAGGCTGGTGCACAAGGAACCCTGAGGAAACACCATCTCCCCCAAACACCATCCCTCCAACCCCAAATCACAGTGAGCAGAGACCTGACCCCACCTTGTTGGCCCTACAAAGCAATAATCACTGTCCCCCTGCTCGGCAAGAGCTTTGTCCCCTGATGGCATTTCGGCTGCTTGCTTGTCCATCGTGACACTGTGTCCCCCCAGATGTCCCCATCCACGCTGCTTCCTGGCAGAGCACCCCAACTCCCCGCTTCCCTCAGGCAATGGGGAAAGAAGAAAGGGGACAGTGAGGCAGCACGGTGGCCCTGAGGGCTGGAGGCAGAGCTGGGGGCATGGGGACGTGTCCCCTCCCTGCCTGGGCCACCCTTTTTGGTATCCCCTGGGTGGGCTTGAACCTCAGCCCCACAGTCCCCATGTCGTAGTTTGGATGGCTCAGGCTGGGTGGCGGTAGGGACAGTGCCAGCAGTGTCCCTGTGTCAGCCACAGCCTGAGGGGTCCCTGTGTCAGCTCGCCCATGAGCGGGGACCTGCAGGCTGGATGAGCACTTTCCTTTTTTATCTTGCTATTTTCTTACTGAAGAACCTACCTTTGCATGATGGCCATAGATGCGTTTATTAAAGTATACAAAGAATATAGGTTTATAAATTCGTATAGAGCTAGTGGAAATATTTTTAATCCCTCCACGAACATTCTCAATAAATACAGCTGACCTGCCTTGTCTGCGCCCATGCGTCACTTCCACGGGCGGGCACAGGAGGATGGTAATGGATGGCCCTCAGACCCCACCCCCTCCTCCCTCCTCCACCTCCTCCCTCACCTTGTAGGCACTCAGGGAACCTCTTTACCCCCTGCTCCCCTTCATCCCTTCCATACATTCCCTGGATCCACATGGGTGGTTAAAGCATGTCCTGGATCGGCCAGATGGCCGATTCTCTTTTCTTACATGCTTTTGCCATCAGAAAGTTGTTAACCTCCCCTCTTGTCCTGCTCTTCGGGTCACTTTGGGCAGGGTCCTTGAAGGGGCAGGAGCTGCTTTGGGCACCCTGACCCCATTGTCACCCTGCTGCAAAACGAGGTTGTACCTCTGTTACGCAGAGAGCCTTAAGTCGCCTTCATCAATATCAATCATCATAATGCCAACATGGGAATGGAGAAGTGCCTGAGTTTCCCTGGCTGCATTAGTTTGCCTTCTGGAGCACACTGGTGGCCATGCCCACTGTTCCCTGCCCAGGACAGCTGGCCAGGCTGCTTGCTGTGACCTCAGAGCAGCTGACTTGGCTTGGTGCCCCTCACCCATCTCTGTGCTTGCATCCTCAGCAGGAAAACCCCAGTGCTCAAGCTCCAATACCAGCTCCAGCCTGTCTTCCTTCCCTTAGCTCTGCTTCGTTTCATGTGATTTTGATCACATCCTTAAAAAAAACCCACACCCACCCAAAGCCAGCCTTCCCACAAGCGTTTCCAGGGCAGAGATATTTTAGTGCAGCAAGTCTCTGATGTGAGTTTATGATGTCCTATTTTAGGTCCCTTGCCAGCGCTGGCACCGTGGCTCCCTTCAACCCTTTGGCAACGCTCGCGGTGGGAGGAAATGTTTTTGGGGAGGGAGAGGAAATCTCTGCTCCTTCCCCGTGCTGTGCTACCCCTATGGCTGCTGAAGCTCCAGCCAGCACCAGCTCTCCCTTCCCAGAAGCCAAATGAATGCTCTGCACCCTTCCCTGGACCAACCCTGTGAGGTCCTCCTGCCCCTTCATCTCTGTGCCATGGGGCATCCAGATTTTTGATCAAGCCGCTGCCTCTGTTTCCTTCCCACTCCTTGCACCATCGCTGTGGCACAAGAGCATTAAAACCCCAGGCGCTGGTTGCAGGATGGCTTTTCAGACATGTAAAGGATTTGGGATGCTGTGGCACTCGTGATGAGACTTTGGATCTTCCTCCTCTAATGGGTTTCAGTAGACCCAAAACCACAGCGTCGCTGTGTGTGAATGCTCTTCTCCTTCTTGAAAAGGTGGATGGAGCACTGAGGAATTACTCTGATGTTGGCCAATGGGCCACAAACCATCAATTGGAGAAGTGTTTTGGGATTCCTCTGCTCAAACACTTTTCTCTGGCTCCTCTCACAGCTGATGGAAACCCTCAGCCCAGATGAGTGACTTGACTCCAGTTTCCAAACTACGCTGTGTTTTTTGCCATACATTCTCCTCACCAATAGCCTCACAAAACCCATGGAGAGCATCCGGCGTGACAAGCAGTCCCTCAGCACCCTTGGCAAACGCAGCTGTTCCTTCCCTGCCATGATGAGGTGACAAATGACATCAGCATGAAGTCCAGGGAGTGAGTGGAGGTGACAGTGATGACGTCCCGCTGAGAGCAGGGATGGGGTAAACGCTGCTGGGTCTCCAGCAGGGACTACAGGCCTCTGCTGTTGGCTGTATTTGGAGAAACAGCACCATCTATTTGCAGCACTATTTGATGTGTGCCTTTGCTTGCAGAGAACAAAATGCCTCCTGGCGGAACCAGGTGCCTGTGACCCATACTGTGCTGCCCAGTGGGGAAGATGTCACCTCTGAGCTGCTGCCCAGACTTTGCTCTGAGTGTAGGGCAGGCAGTGGGAGTTGAGTGATGTGTGCACAAGCAGCAGAGGAGGAAGCAGGCACGAGAGGTCCATGAAGAGGTTAGACAGCTCTGCACTGGGGCCTTCATCTGATTTTTAGCCCTGCCCCTGCTCTCCTCCGCAGGGACATTGGGGCACCCATCCTGAGTTCCCCTCCTTCCCCAGCCATACATCTCCCCATAGCAGCCTCAGAGGCCTTGGACAGCAGAAGGTTGGGTGCCCTTGCACCGGTCAGTGTCCTTGGCTTTCTGCAGAGCCTTTTCGGCAAGCCATGAGCCCAGAAAAGGTGTTGGCATCCCAAAATCCAGGGGGAAGAAAACCAGCCAGCCTACCCATGGCTTTGCTCTGGCTGAGAAAGCTGCTCCCACCGCAGTCTGTCCCCAGGTGGGTGAGAGCAGTGTGCCAGGACCACCTCCCAGCTCTTCCTTTCCAGCTTTACCACAGACTTGGAGGGAATGAGAAAGCTCTGCTCTATTAAACCTGCTGGGAAAAGGAAAGGCATCAGAAGCTCCGGGGCAGCAATCACTACTTCCTCTTGCTGCTTCTCATCCTGCTTTCTATCAGGCTCAGCCCCTGCTTCTTGATGTCCTCCCGGGTGGGAACCGGGTCGTGGTCTTCATCAACAAAATCAGAGGGAGCTGAGGGAGAAAGCAGGGAGGAGTGGGCTTAGGGGGTTGTGAGGCTTCCTCTGCCATGCCTGCATCCCCAGGGAGAGCCACCAATCTCAGAGGGTTGGTAGCATCTCCAGCACAGGTGCTGCCCTCTGGGTTTTCCCTTCTCAGCATCCCCTGACCCTAATCCTAACCCTAACCCTAATCTCCTGGCACCGCAGTGGTTCATCCCTGACACTGCTGGGGCTTCCCATAGAGGGCTGGAGCCATGGGGTGCTGGTCACAGGTCCTGCTTTGATCATAAAAAGGTGGTAAGCAGCTGAAAACTCAACTCCTCCAAGTGTCCCACAGGAGGTGAGGCTTTATAGAGCCAAGCACTGGTTTGTTTTCCCACTCAGGTGATGCTGAAATCCCTTATTTGGCTGATGAAGACACACAGCAACCCCACCCCCTGCCCCAGAGCTGCTCTGCTTGCTTCCTAATAGGGTTCAGCACTCACCCACCCGCTCACCAGCTGCCTTTACTCTTCTCCAGTCCCAAAACCTACCCTCAAAGCCTTGCAGACAGACACAGTTCATGGGTTGGGGTCTGATGGGACAGAGGAAGGCAGCACAGGACACCCAGATGTCCCACAGCCACTGGGCACATGTCCCTGCTGTGCTCACTTACCTTGCACCCCTGAGCCTATATCCTCCAAGGGAATCTTCAGGTTCCATGGCTCTCTCGCAGTCGTTTTCTCCATTAAATTCCTGACCTTCACAAAAGTCTGTGAAAGACTTAGAATTAATTGCTGAAGGGAAGGCGGGTGTTAGGACATGAGGAGTGTCCCACCTTGATGTCCCTTGGGAAGAGGACACTCCACAGTGTCCAGCACTATCCTGCCCTTTCCCCAGGGTCACCTCCATTCTTCCAGCAGGGAGGACATCTTGGGTTGTGCCACAGAGCCACAAGTGGAGACCCCCAAAGACCAGAGCAAGGACAGAGCATCCAAGCACCTCATTGTCCTCATCAGGGCTGTAGCTGTGGGCAGGCAGGGAGCTCACTCGCTGGGCCAGGTGCTGCAGCTTCTGCCTGCAGTGCTGCAGCTTCTCATCCACCCCTTTGAACTCGACGGTGAGATCCTGCAGGTAGAGAGAAAGACAACCACGATGGGAACAGCGAGTTGCTTTTGGTGATGGTGGCTGCACCAAGTGCCACAGTGATGCACTGCAGCATTGAACGCTCATCCCTGGAGGTGTGCAAGGCCAGGCTGGATGGACCCTGGGCAGCCTGAGCTGGTGGAGGACACTCAATCCACGGCAGGAGGGTTGGAATGGCCTTCGAGATCCCCTCCAACCCATCCTGTGGTAGTAAGAAATGATTCTTGCCATGGGTCTTGCACTGGGGAGAGGACACACGGTGGGGACAGGCAGGAGGAGCTGGTGGCACTGTGTCCCCAGCTCCCCTGCACACCCCATACCTGCTCAGGCACGTTGATGCCATGCAGACGGATGATGAGGTTGTCGATGCCGTTCTCAAACTGCAGCAGCAGCTCCTGGTTCCTCACATACTGGGCTCGTGCCTGCTCCAGCCGGGCCTCCTCCTGCTGCAGGCGCTCCCGTAGCTCTGCCTCCAGCTTCCTGCAGCTGCCCAGACCCACACACGTCCCTCTGGGTGTCCATGTGCAGACATACCCCAACGTGCTGTACAGGCTGCCCACGTGGACCCAACACTATGGAGCAGAGCGGGCTCAAGGCCCAGTGATGCCACCTCGCAGAGCAGAATGGGAAGAAGAGTCCTGCATGTGCCCAGCAGTGTGCTGGGACTGGGCAGGCTGGGTTTGAGGGGTATCTCCACTTCACGGCTTCAGGACCTGCTGCCACCAAGGCTCTGCAGGACCTCATCCATCCCTCCTCGCCTTGCGTCCCTGCTGTCCCAGCTTTGGGTGCTCTGCTGGGAGGAGCACCCTACTGAACAAAGCTCCTGGTGCAGGAGGACCTATTGGGACATGGACGTCCCCGTGCCCAGGTGATAGGAGAACGTGTCAATACTGCCCAGAGCATCTGCATCTGGCTGTGTCCCGAGGCCATGGCAGCACCTGATAGCACTTGGGGGCTGGTGGAACTTCAGCTTGGCGTGCTTCAGCTCCAGTTCCTGCAGCGTGTCCTTCAGTGCCCACCGCTTCTCCTTGCAGGCTCTGATGTGCTGCTCCAGCTCTGCTGTGGACTTCTGCTGTGCCAGCAGCCTGCTGGTGATGTCCTGCCAAGGGACGGTGCAGGGGCTCAGCCACGAGGACAGAACCTCAGATGAGACCACGAGCAGAGGGCTCAGCTGCTGGCAGAAGGGTTTTGCCCAGGGTGGGTTGTTCCCTTACCCAGACACGGGAGCACTGCACCGCAGCCTTGGCCTTCTCCACCTCCGCCGTCACAAAGGACTCGTGCTCAATCTGTGACCTAGTGGCTTGTACCTGGGAGCCTGGGTGGGAGGAAGGGCACCAGGGGATGGAACCCTCCTCCTCCTCCTCAAACCCGAGCCCTAACCCTGTGCACTGCCAAGTACTCACCCAGCGCTGAGTCCTGCATCAGCAGGGAGGGGAAGTCCACAGCCAGGTCATACCTGGCTTGCTGAAAGAACATCCATTGTCACCACTGTGCTGCTTGCACCCAGGGAGGGTGGTCCGAGCTGCTGCCCTGCCCCAGCTGCCACCCACTCACCGCTCTTGAGTGCTTTTTGCTTGCCTCCTTGAGCCACAGCCAGTCGGTTTGCACCTTCTGGGCAGACAGGATGCGGTGTCTGTGCTCCTCCTCTGCCAAGAATCGGGTTTCCAGCATGGCCAGGTCCTTCTGGAGCACAGCAGAGCCGGAGAGAAAGGAAAAGTCAAAGCTGGAAGGACCTTTGTGGGCCAGCTGGACTTCTGGGATGGCCAAAGCAGACTGCTGTGTAAAGGGGCTGTGTAGGAAAGCAGGAAGGACAGAGGGCACGTAGGGCCCAGCCCAGGGCAGCTGACAGCCAGATACAGAGGAGTTATGAAGGCATCTGCATGCCATGGGCAATCCCAGCTTTTTGCTGAAATAAATTTCTGCAATTTACTCCAGGAAGATGTACTAGCCTGGACAAATGGGGCCATTTGTGCTAAGCCACTGTGGGGATTTGGGACATTGGAGAAGGGCCCAAGGTGACGTGGGGCTGTTCTCACCTTGGTAATGTCACTGGCTCTGAGAGCACCTGAAGCCATCAGCTCCCTGTCCTGCACCTCCCTGTGGTACGCCCCAGCCATGGTGTACAGCAGCTCCAGATGCAGAAGCAGATAGTCCAGCTCCTGCAGCACAGAGCCACTGCATGTCACCCATGAGACGTGGGTCAAACAAACCTCTGTGAGGCGTCCTCAGCAGAGGAGCAGCCCTATCACACAGTGGGGACAGTGAGGGGCAGCTCACCCTCTTCAGGACATCCCGCAGTGCCAGGTACAGCGTGGTCACCTTCTGCCCAGCGTGGATTTTCATGTGCATCTTCTCAATGCTGTTCTCCAGCTGGCGAATCATCTACGGGGTGGGACATGGGGTGACCCGGCGTGCTGAGCCTGGGCAGCGCTGGGATTGGGAAGGATCTGTGTACCTGCACTTGCTCCTGGTGCCTCTTGTCATCGATCCTGACATCCACCAGCTGCTGCAGCTGCCACCGCAGGGCATCCCGAGCCTGGCTCCTCCGCTTCACCTCGTGCAGCAGCATGTTGCAGGCATTCACCCGGTCGAAGATGCTGCTCCGGAGCTTCTCTCGGGCCCCCTGGATGGGCATGCAGGAGCTCGTGGGCTGGACGTGCCTGAACCTCATTCCAGGGCAGAAGTCAGAGGCTTGGGGACTTGGGGACACTGGGACATGGTGAGTCCCAGGCTGGGCTGAGTGTGGGAGAGCTTTGCCCCAAGCAGCAGAGCAAGGCAGAAGTGGGTGCTGATGGCTTTCTAGAGCCAGGACTTTGCAGGATGCAGAATGCAGATCCAGGACCGAGCGAGCATCAATTAAAATAAATCGATCGCGCCCCAGATATAGATGCTGGCAGCATGTGATGGCACTGCTCTGCCCTTGCAAGAGACCCCTGGGCAAAGCAGATCCTCTGGGATGCCCTGGCTCCTCTGGCATAGTCCATGGGCATCTAGCCAGGCTGTGAGCTTGGGACGGGCAGAGAGCATGCTGCTCCCCAGGGTGCAGCCCTGCAGGAGCCCAGCAGACAATGCAGGCAGGACAGCCATAGCTCTGCTGGGGAGCTGCTCAAAGAGCTGGAAGATATCTATACTGATGGCTCCCACAACAAAACAAGCATTTCTCATGGGATGCGACCCGTGCAAACCCTAGGTCTCACAGCACCAGCCCTGGGGGGGGGATGCTGGCTCAAGGACTCCTGTGAGCACCTGTTCCCAGCTGCTGCCAGGCAGACCCTTCCTGTTACCTGCACAGTTTTGCCACACAAGTACTTCTGCGCTCTGCAAAACTCAGACATGATGCGCTGGTCATGCTGCAGGCAGGAGAGGGACAGAGAGATCAGTGTCTGTCAGGGCACCGTCACTGCCTGCTGCTGCTCTACACAGCTGGCGTTTGCTCCTGGAGGGACCCAGCAGAGGAGCAGGGGGGCATCTGTTAGGAATGGCAGGTACCTTCTGGGCAATGTCCAGTGCATGGATGTCCTCCCGCAACGTCCCGTGCAGCCGGGAAAGCAGATCTTTGTTCTGCCTACGCTTTTCCTCAGACAACTGCCTGGAAAACTTTTTTCCTTGCTCTGCAGGATGTTAAGGAGCTGTTAGTGCCACACCACCCACTGCTGCTGCCCCACGTTGAACACGAGTCCCCTCCTCTGCCCCAGAGGCTTGGGAAATGGGGAAAGGACAGTGGCCAGGCAGAGACATGGGACACTGGGCCAAATGCTGCTTCCCTAGTGCCTAGGCTGCACTGAGCCCCAGTGGCAGCCTGATGCCCCCTTTCTCCAGTCACTGCGCCCACGGGAACAGGAAGCCGCTGCAGATTCTGTCTCCTGTGGGACTGTCACCCATTTTGTTTGAGCGCCACACTGGAGACCAATGTCCAAAGCCACCACGGTCACTACCCCTCAACCAGTGCACGCATTCCTGCACCCCAGAGCCCCCACGGATTCAGCTCTGCACAGGCCGTCCCTGCAATGCAATGTAAGAGCAGCACCTTGCAAGGCAATGATGTTGCGCAGCTCCTGGATCTGCTGGTTCATGTCTGCCCTGCGGCCCTGCATGGTGCCAGCAGTCCTGCCTGCGGATTCAGAGTGTGTGCGACAGTTGCTGCAGCCCCCGTCTGTTGGAAGCAGTCTGTGACCTCAAACAGAACCAGCACCACGGCTCCTCCAGGCGCTGCACGCCCTGCGCCGGCCTTCTGGCACCCCCTGCTTGCTCACTGCCCCGACAGCTCCAGCACAGCACTCACAGCCCCTTCCTCTCCGCTTCTGCAGGGCTCAGAGCAACCTCTAAGCAATTACTGAGCTCTGACAAGCAAGGACGCAGACTGAGACCACGCTCACCACCCAGTCACCATGACTACGGCAGTTCCAACCTGCCCAGCCCCACCAGGAACCAGGGCACACCCAGAAGGAAGGGCTGCTTTACTGCAGGGGCATCTCAGCACTGTACAGAGGATGGCTTGGGACCATCAGATCAGGAAAGATGAGTTATTGCCTGCTAATTGTTCACTGCATTCTTCTTGTCCCCCCTCCCCCCTTGATTCAGCTCCCATTTCTCCCTCGTGAGAAATTCAGAGTCTGTGTGACAATTTTTTGTCTCACCTCAAAGCTGCCTGCACAACAGAGATGACTGTTATGATCTGTGTAAGTATCTTTGGAAATCTCTGTTAATTAGCCCTGGAACCGTTACGCTCCTTCTTGAAATGGGCAAAAGTCAAAAATGGAAAGAACAGCTGCCAATACTGGTATTTATTTTGATGCCTACCATCCATTCTTGCTGAAATACAAACATGACAAGAAATGCGAGCATGTTTATAAATAAAATCAAGCTCCCTCTACCAGAGAAAATCCTCAGCATTTGATGTGTAGAAAAAGACTATCTGGAAACTGACTTCCTAGCACCAAGCTCATAAATCAGCTTAGATTACGTTTCTGTAACTCGAGGACCTTAACCTGCAGCCATCCTCTTGCACTCTAAGAGCATAAAACCCAAAGAAATTACACAACTGTGAAATCAAATCAACCAACACGACGCTAAATGAGGTTCTTGCTCAGCATCTCTTTTGCAGATTTATGGATTACATCTTAATTCCAAGTGCCAGGGACAGGTTACATAGCAGCATTTCCACCCTTTTCATAAAGAATGCACAAGAAGACAGGCAGTTAAGGGCTTGCACACATGGGGAAAGTTGCCTGCTTATCCACACAGGTCCAGATCTCCACGTTTAAACTGTCCACCTCACAAGTACATCAATTACACCTCTAAACTCTCCTAGGCAGCGTTTAAGCAGGACAGCAAGTTGTCCTGGGGGCAACAGAAAGCATTTTAAAACTGATCAAATGGTTCAAGAATCTCCATCTCACTACCCTTCAGCAAAACGCAGGCTCCACATTGGCAAGTCATCCCAAAACTGCTGAGGAAATCAAATCCAACCTTGCACAAGCTCACGTTCACAGGCTGCAATTTCAAAAATGAAGCCCCTCACTGAGGATCTAGGCTCCTTCTCATCTGACATTTCGAATCTTTCTCTGGTTGACTTCAACTCCTCCCCACATCAACTCACAGCATCTGTCAGTGGTACAAAGGAAAAGGTCACGTGAAGAGTACAAACCAGAGCTCCGTTTAATTGTCATAGAAAAGGTAAATTACCAGCAAGGAATGAACAGAGCACAGATTCATTTGAAGCAGAGATCCAGTGGTCGGCCAGCTCGCAAATCCCAACTCCTGTGTATTATCAGCATGAAAACAGGCTCATGAATACCAAAGGCTCCCCTGAAACTCCTGCAGGCTCAGCCTTCAGACACACAGGGCTGTGTACCAGGTATTTTTTATTGTATTTTTAGTATCTTTCCAGCTTCTGTCCTCTTTTCCCCCTCTTGTTTGAGATTCCCAATTTAAACTTGAAAGCACTCGTTTGGCACAGCTGAAAGAAGCCTTCACAAAGCCACACAGAGCGCTGGGCCTGGGAGCCGCTGGAAATGCTGTGCTAGAAAGAAGCATAGAAAGCCACAGGATAAAGGACAGCTACCACGAGGGAAGGAGGGCCCAACAAAAGCCTGTCTGGCACAACAGCCAGAGGCCACTGCCTGGGAGAGATCCGCTTCATTTCATCCCTTGAATGACAACAGCTCAGAAATGCAGCCTATGCCTTCAGCCTCCAAACGCAGCACTGCAGCCAGGGGCAGCTCCTATGCTACAACAAAAATAGTCCTTTCTTTCTGTATCTGTAATACATAAATAGACGATAATTATTATTTCTTTTTTTCCTCACCAATGTAGCTAAATATATTTTATGAATAAATTATTTGGAGAACGTTTTTTCTAAGTTAGCAAGTACTGTTATACCCAGTGATAGGAAATACACAAGAACGGTCCTTTAAATTACTGTAATTATTAAGCAGCCAATTATGGGTGTCTACATCAGTTTTCATGCTGCCAAGAGATCAGCAGACACGACCCACGCTTTGCACTTGCCTGAAAGTGAAAATGAGTCTCTCTTTCCCTCTCCCTACATCCAAACCCCCCTGTGCAGCCTTCCACTCAGCACTGACAGCTCAAAGCAAACGTGTTTGGCACCCTATCAGTCAAACACCTCCATCAGCAACCCTTAACATTCACCAAAGCTAAACTCCCTATCGAGTCTTAATTCTCATTAGTGCAACTCTGACACCAAAGGTTCCTACAGGCAAATCACCTGTAAACCAAGTGGAAAATGATTTAAAAAATAAAAAACACCAAACCACTGCATGGAAAAACCCAAAGGGTTCGTGTGTGTCAGAAGGTATTTGGCAGCGAGGGGTTGGAGAAACAAAACAAGAAGGCTCAACAGAAAGGAGCGGCTAATGCCAGTTGTTTGCAGTGCTCCAGAAGGGCTTTTTTGTTATTCAGGGCTTTTTTTTGTTATTCAAGCTTTTCATCTCCTTCCTCCACATCTTTCAGACTGAGCACTTCCAGCGTTCCCTTCCCTTTGGTCTCAGACCGGATCAGCTCGTCAATCTCTCTGAAGCAGCCCGGGTCAATAAGGCACACCTGAAATACACCACAGACCATCAGTCAAGCAATAGTATTTGATTCTCATCAATTTCTCAAGGCCTTTTTAAATTTTCCTTTAAAAACTGTTATTGTTCAGTTACTAAGAAGGACTTGGTTACTTTGAAGAGTTGATAAGCAATCTGTATCAAGTCACCTTCACAAAAGCTTTCAGTTCCAGCACAGTCAGGATTCTGGACACTTGGACAGTTGGGTTTCTAAATTCTTAACTGTTTTTACCAATACCAAATTTGCTGTACCACAAACTGCTTTTAAAAAGCTAACTATTGCCAAAATACAGGCCAGAACCACCAAATAATTAACAGGAAAATTCCATATATGCAGAGAAACTCATCAACGTGACAGGACCATGACTGCTAAGGGAAACTACACTGTGCTTCTCCTCAACCTGAACCAGCCACCTCTGTGCCACAAAACGACTTCCAATCTCTGTGTACAGAGAACTACCACAGATCTCTGGTAGCCTTGCAGTTTATCTGAACAACTTCCCCACATTAATTCTACGCTGCACAGGTGAAATCACATATGAAAGCCAAGATCTGCTATATCACTTACAATTTCTAACTGATCATGAAAATCTTCGTTCTCAATAACTTTAATCAGTGGCTTGAGCTTCTCTTTCAGTTTTTTCCCCTCCTTTACTGGAAGAATAAATCGTAACCTCATGTGAGCACGTTCAATTTGCATGGTCTCCTTTAACTGTCTGATCACTTCCAGTGCCTGCAGAGACATTCAGAAAAGGATAAAGAGCATTTAAACGCCACAGAGATCAAAACTTGTCATTTACATCATCATCAGAAGTTGCTCCTACTCATCATTCAGCTTCCAGCCAGTTGAGAAACCCTTGTGACAGCTTTGAACCACAGGGCTTTTTTACTCCTGCGAGATCCATAGCAAAACTTCACTTGAAGGCAACACCTCTGAGTGCAAGCTGATTTTTAGGGAATACCAACCTGCTGCTTCGTGCTCTTGTTTGGTTTGACAGAGTAGTGAATATCCTTCATGGCTCTTTCTATAAGGATTACAGTGTATGGCCTCTTCGTCTCAGGGTTCACACATTTGTCAGCCACAATAGTTGCAATGTCCCTAAACATCTGCTCCAGCTGTGTTTGTCGTTCTTTGTCTGATACCTGCAACTCCCCTTTTGACAGAATCTGTAGAGTTAATTAAAAATAAAGAGGTTAATAAATGCCAAACATTTCAGTGAAAAGCCTAATGTGATAAATTTAACAACTGCTGGAAAGTTTTGGTTAGACACCAAGAGCAGAAAAAGAATAAGTGTATCAACCATGACACACAGTGGTGGAAAGATGTCAGGGGAAAAAGCCACAGCAGCAGCACTATCTGGCTGCTACGAGCTCTCCCTGAAGCCTCATCCTCTCCAGGCTGAAGAAGCCCAACTCCCTCAGCCTGTCTGCATAGGAGCGATGCCCCAGCCCTCTGAGCATCCTTGCAGCTCATCTGTGTCTGCAGAGAACAGTGCATGAAAGCAGTACAGAATAATCAGAACTCTCATCTAAGAGATGTATAAATTTAACACTACACCAAAGAGCTCCATCTTTCAACAGATAAATCATTCTTCTGCATACATCAACACTTCATTCTACGAAAGCCTTCCAGTAACACACCAACCCACCAGGTCTGCACACCATGTGTATCTCCAAGCTTTTATAAACATACTGCAAAGTGCACAGAACCTACCACTTTACAGATTTCTGTTTGGTCATCTGTTCCAAATGCCCGGACCAGATCTTCCTTCTTTGCCACCTGGCCTTTAGAAACATTAACAAACACTGTGTGGGTCTGCAGGACCTCGTCAATATCCTTCTCCCTAGTGAAGGAAAGCAGCATTAGAAAGGGCTGTGGGGTGACAACGAGCTCGGGGTGGGGAGGAATGAATCCTATTGCTAAGGGCTGAGACAGTGGCCCTTGGGCACTGCTGCCAAGGCTGCGGGGAGCAGCTGGGTGGAGGCAGCCGGCTGAGGCAATCCCTGGGCTTCTTCAGACCCACAGCTGCGTCCCGCAGGCACCTTCCTTCTGCAAACTGAGAGCCTTTTCCCCTCGCATCGGAGGCCTCCCTTCCTCACAGCCGATCCCACGGGAGCCGCCCCCTCCCTTAAACTTGAACCCACCACGGACTTCCAACCTCCCAGTCTTCACCGGGGGCTTTCCCTTCCTCTCAACGCATGCCTCTCACTGGCGGCTTCCCCTTTCAAACCGGGATTCCCCCCACAAAGCCGGCCCTCCCCCTCCAAACAGGGCCCTACGGAGGCCTTCCCTTCCACACCGGTCCCACCGCAGGCTCCCCCTCTCGCAGCCAGGCCCCACGCGAAGCCTCCTCCCCCCCCCCACAGCCGGGCTTTCAAGGCACTCACGCTCCGCTGCGCCAGCCCATGACTTTGTTACGGTAACATGCGATCTCGAAGCGCTTTCCGGCGCGCCGTGCCCGCACCACGGCCACATTGGTGAGGCGGATCTGGTTGGTGGGGGTGAAGATGGACATGGCGGCGGCTTGGCCGGGCTGCGCCCCCGCGTCACTCACGGCATTTGGGAGGTGGGACTTCCGGTCAGTGCATCTTTTCATTGGTAGCTCTGTCCGCAGTCCCCGCCTATCCGCGCACAGGAAAAAGCCGTCCGATGGGAAACGGGAGAGCGCGGCGGGGCCGGAAGGGAATGGAGGTGGCACATGGCGGGCGGTGGGTGCGCGGGGCTGGAGGGTGGGGTAATTAACTAATTGTATGGGTGTAGTGGGGTAATGAGTTACGGGCTGGGCTCCTTTAGAGGAGTGTGCTTGGGGTAACTGGCGGAAAGGTGATTAGTGTGTGTGTAGGGGGCCCTGAGAGGGGAGTGGGAGGGCAGAGGGTCCAACCCCCAGTGGGGTAATTAGGGGTGGGTGGAGGGACTGACCTCGGAGGGAGGTGGGGGCGTAGATAGGGGCATAGGTGTAGGCATAGGGTCTCCTGAGGGGGTTCATGGGTGCGTTGGGTTATGGGAATGGCAGGGTTGCACAGCGGGGCAGTTATTGCCATATAACTTTAGTGGGGAAATGTGGGGCTGAGGCACGGTGCTTAGGAGCAGGAGATGCCCTGGCTGGGTTCCTCATCCAGAGTTGTGAGGGTGAAGCGGTGGTTCACTAGAACTAGGGGAGCTCCACAGGTCTCATTTGACCCCTACAATTCTATGGTTCAAGTCAGTTAGTAACAGTCTCAATAGCTATGAATTAAGCCTCACCTGTGCTGCCTGGGAAAGCACTTGAGTTTGAATCTAGATTTCAGTTGCTGTGAAATACTCAATCTCTGAGCCTATAAACAAACAAACAAACAAACAAAAAAACAGAATCATGGGAGGGCTGCAGACAGCTGCAGGGTGCCACGATCTGTTTCTCATGCAATAGGTGTTGCAAGTGAGCCTTATTCAGGCTCTTGATTTTTATTCCTATGCAATAAGTAATTGCAGGGGTTGCACAAACAGCACTGCTGGCTGCAAGATCATGTGGTTGAAATTTAGTGTGAGAGAACCATAGCCATGGGGTTGGCTGCTGGGAAGGGGGGTGTCTCCTTTTCTAAAGATATTCAAGATCCATCTGGACAGTTCTCTGTACAGCCTGCTGCAGGGAACAGATATGGGGTTGAACTAGGGGAGCTCCACAGGTCTCATTTGACCCCTACAATTCTATGGTTCAAGTCAGTTCATAACAGTATCAATAGCTATGAATTAAACCTCACCTATGCTGCCTGGGAAAGCACTTGAGTTTGAATCTAGACTTCAGTCTGTTTTTGAAACTCTTATCAAGCCTGTTAGAAGAAGCGTAGTGCCTTGCATGTGCAAGGTCTCTGTTCTGCAGCAGGCTCTCTCAGGATGATTCCCCTCCTTGGAATGTCATTTCCCATCTGCAGAGATCTACATTTGTTGGTTCTGTGTGAAATGAAGGCCAGGAAACTCCAGCTGATGTTTCACAGGGATGTTTTAGGCAGTAGCACTGTACGAATGTTTTCTGCTTTTCTTTGTATCAGAACCTGTCCTAGATCAGAAAAAAACCCAGTATTTCCGTATGATAGCTTAAAATGTTTGCTTGGGTAGGTAGATGGAACTGCATATGCGCTGCTGGGAAGGTGGAGGTTTTTGTTTCAATAGTGGTGGTGTCTTCAGCTGAGAGCTGTTTTCTGCAGAGCCTGAGAATAGTTGATGGCATGAGTTTGTGGGAGTAGTATGGTTTTCTTGTTCTAATTTCATCCTGCTTCTGCTACATATGTGATTTATTCCAGGTTTAGATGTCTCAATGGATACGTGGAATTTTCTCTACACTTGCCTGGTGTCCTTATGGCTGCACAGAATTTACATCTATTCTGTTATGGCTTTTGGGATCAGCCTTTGGATTGCCATTCAGTTCTTCACTACCGAAGCCAAGAGGAAGGTAACTGAGTGCTTAAGTACACTCCTCTGAGAAGAACCCAAAATCTGTGTGTGGAAAGGAGTAGTAGTTACAAGGTGAAGGTGACTGCTTGTGCAGCGCGATATGGTGGGCTCACCTTGGTTCTTGCAAATCCCAGTTGTAGCTTATTTGAAGTTACAACCCCCTGTGTGGATTGTATTGAGTGTGGATAACAACAATACCTTTGTTCCTCTCATGGCAGAGCAGATCTCAGCTGAGAGCTTCTCACTTTGCTGCAGAGAAGTGCCAGCCTGAGTAGCTCAGTCACAAAGCAAGTTGCTCTGTTTGTGCCCAGTGCATCAGGTTAGTCTTTCCAGTGACCTTAGTGGAAAGACTGAACTAGTTTTAGGATGGGAGTGTTGTGAGCTCATTCAGAATGTTAAAGCCTCCTTATATGCTGGAGTGAAGCTCTGTTGCATGAGGTGGGAGGAATTACTTCTTGGGTTCTGCCAGATCCCGCTGTTGCTCTGGGGTGTGAGATGAGTTTGCAGAGTGGCCTAGTTCAATTAAGTAGTCAGTTAGGCTTTTTTTTTCCTATGAGAGTATAAAGCTAGAATACTTTAATTATTGCATTTGCTTAATGCTGAGAAGCTGGATGCTGGCTTTGTATTTTAAATGCTTTTGGGCAAGTAGGCTGAATGACGCTTTGAGAAGGGATTGAATGAGACACAATGTTCTTTTTTTTTTTTTTTTTTTCCATAGGATGAAAATTCCAATGGGAATCCAGTGTCTTCTGAGGTAGCAGAGGGCAAACTAGTCAATGGATATGCTGCTCTGCAGCCAAAGGAGGTCTATGTTGCTGGAGTGAAGATTTTCTATGGGTCTCAGACTGGCACAGCACAGGTATAAGTTACTGCTTTTTCACCTCTGAAATTGAGATTCGAGTATGTTGTTTGCCTTGAAGACACTGAGTAAAAATCTGAAAGCTTATTGGAAAGCTCATTAGGAAGTAGTGCCTGATGTGAAAGCTAACTCAAAACTACAAAACAGGAAGACAACTGTTCTCTTTGTAAGCAGGGCATGTAGTAGAGGGGTTAATTGTTGAGCTTAGGACTTGCTCTTAGAATATACTCTTAATTTGCTAGCAGATATTTCCTGTAGACAGAAGTGCTGTTCTGGGTACTTAGTCAGAAATGCTAATTTGCGTGTATGTAAAATTGTTAGCTATTAGCCTTTATGTAAGTGAGAGTGAGAGGAGGTGTGTTGTGACAGATGCTTCAAGGGAGTCTGTCTTTGCTTTGTCTTATGACCAGAATGAAGCCTTTGAGCAGTTAACCTGCTCCCACTTCAACCTGATGAAGCTCAGGCGCTTTGTTTACATCCCAGGGGCCTCCCAAATAGAGCAGCCTGTAATCTGTTCCTATTTGTTCAGGCAGGGGTACCCAGAGAGGCAGGAGTTCAGGCATTGAGATCGTTGTAGCATCCAGTGTGTTTCACTTTTTAAATATAAGTATTAGAGGTGCAGTGTCCAATTTTGAAGTGTCTGTACTGTGGTAAATCTTATGATTGGGCATACAGTTTCCTTGACACTTGCTGTAGCTGGGTTTGTCGTTGATAACTTTCTGCCTTTAACTTTTTAGAGATTTGCAAAGGGTTTGGCTGAAGCTGTTACTTGCCTTAATTTGCCTGTGGAAGTCATTAACATGGGAGAATATGATCCTGATGATTGCCTAGCAGAGGAGGTAGGTACTTAGTACGAGCTTTTCTGGAGATTAAGGCTCTTTTCCTCTTGCAGTTTCTCTTGTCCTGGAAGTCTCCAGAGCTGTGTGTGTGACTGCTTTCTGTTTGATGTAGGAAAGCACAGCTCATCAGTCCTCACCACTCATCTTGAAAGTTACTGTAAAACATCACGTAGAATATGCTGATACTGACCCTGGTTTTGTGTGAGCTGGTTCTGCAGCTCTGGCAGGGCTACACCTGAAAGATTGAACACCAGAATGAATGGATTGTGAGACTTCCATAGCCTTCAAAGCCTGAAGTGAGAGAATTCCTTGGAGGCACGCTTATACTGAGTAATCCTTGATAGATTTTTTCATCTGTAAATATTGATCGTTGCCTCTTGAATCTGTGGGAGATGTTATCACTGCAAGAGTTTGTTCAAGAAGCTGTTGATTGGGTAGGGAAGGTGGATGTCAAGTTCTGCTGTCGTGTTTTTTTGCGTCCCTAAGGAATGATTGGCTGATTTGGGGAGGCTTTGCATGGAGGATAGGCACTCACCACTGCTGAGGTCACTACCTGCAGCATTTCCAGTCCAACTACAATTAACAAAAAAAAAAAAAAACCCGACTCCTTCAATTCTGTGTATTATTAGTGCTTGTCCTGACGTAAAGTGCTTTGAAAACTGCAGTTATCTTTCCTGTCCTGTTCTTTTTATTATACAACAGGCAACCAGCAGGAACATCTGTGTGTTCCTGGTAGCTACGTACACAGATGGGCAGCCAACTGAGAGTGCAGCCTGGTTCTGCAAGTGGTTGGAAGAGACTGCAAATGACTTCCGCTTTGGCAAAACGTATCTGAAGGGCCTGAGATATGCTGTGTTTGGCTTGGGAAACTCAGTTTATGTTGATCATTACAACACGGTGAGTGTATTCCCATTCTCTTTCTTTTCTGCTCCTCTGAATGGCTAAATCTTCCTGACTGTAGTAACCCTCAGTGGCACTAGTGGATGGTTAGGGTTGGTATTGTTCTGAGAATACACTGGTGTGTGAGCTGGTAAGGATTTGAAGGTGTGAGAAGTCAGCTTCTATTTCAGCCTTTGTGTGGACTTGGTAGGAATTGGGTTTAGGCCACAGGCAGTGCAGCTTTGAAACAGGTGTGCTGCCATCTGAAATAGGAAGGACTCCAATATTCATGGTGTGAATCTGAGTGGTTTTAGTAATGGCTAATGAGAATACACTTGATAAATCCTTATTCACTTAGTTTCCCAGCTTTGAAAGCTTTCTATCATACAGTTCTAGAAGCCCTTCGTGAAGGTGCAGTACTGGAAGCCCTCTTGCTTTGCAGTTTAGAGCATGTTTCTCAACTTTCCATATGTTTTCCTGGATTCTGTGGATCTTAATTTTATTTCCTGAAGTAAAATATGATGGTATCTAAGCCTGATACTTGTTTTTTCTTTCTTACTTGGAGCAAAATAGCATGGCTTGCCACTGGATCACTATTTTTGTATAGCTGCAGGCCATGAGGAATGTCAATAAGCCCCTCACAAGCTAGTTCCCATACCTCACTTGTCACGTAACCATGATAGCAGAGATTTACAGATTAAAGCCTGAGGGTGTGTGGTGATGTTCAGACTGACTTGTATCCACAGTCTGAGTCAGCAGGTGATGGGGAGTCCAGAAACCCCCACCTTGCAGTCCTGCAGCCCCTGTAGCTTACCAGTTCTGTTGCCTTTGCTTTCTTAATTGCATGTTTTCACTTGGTCTTCATTCAATTTCTCTAATTTCTGTCCCATCCCAGGTTGGAAGAAATATTGACAGGTGGCTGTGGATGCTCAGCGCCAGGCGTATCATGACTCGTGCCGAGGGGGACTGCAATGTGGTCCAGAGCAAGCATGGCAGCATTGAAGCTGACTTTGAAGCCTGGAAATCAAAGTTCCTCAGTTGTCTCCAGGCCCTCTGCAGAGGGGAAAAGAAGCCCTGCAGTGGGAAGTGCAAGAAAGGGAAGTGCAAATCCCAAGGGAAGCAGAGTAAGGAGAGTTCAAGTCATGAACGTGAAGCGCCAGAGGTTGAGAACACTGAGGTAGAGCCAAAATCTATGGGTTCTTATTTCTGGTGTGGTGCTTATTGAAATGCTATTTGACCTTTTCCTCCTCCTGTTCCACAGGCCAGAGGGATGCTGTGAGGGGCTTAGGCTTGATGCATCTTTAGTATGGAGTAGAAGGGAGAGAGGGGTACGAGATGGGGGATAGCAGGCAAAGTAATCCAGGAAGAGGAGCCAATGACTAGTGTGAACTAGACTGAGTGGCTTCCGTATGAGGGGGGGAGTTTTTTGCCTGAGTGAGAGGAGGTGTGTTGTGACAGATGCTCCAAGGGAGTCAGTCTTTGCTTTGTCTTATGATCAGAATGAGGCCTTTGAGCAGTTAACCTGCTCCCACTTCAACCTGATGAAGCTCAGGTGCTTTGTTTGCATCCCAGGGGCCTCCCAAATGGAGCTGCCTGTAATCTGTTCCTGTTTGTTCAGGCAGGGGTACCCAGAGAAGCAGGAGTTCAGGCAATGAGATCGTTGTAGCATCCAGCAGGAATCAGATCCTTCTGTATCACTTATGTGATCAGATAGGGATACAGCATCATGGATTTGGAGTTTCATGTGGTCTCTGTACTACTGAGTCACTAGAAATAAGAGAATCTCATCGTATACAAGTTATTGCCAGCCTATAGTGTATTTCTCAGCACTCTTCATTGAGTGTTACTTGGTTTCACTGGTTAGTATGAGTGAATTTTTTCTGTTGTCACAGCAGATATGTTTCTATTCTTTTCTCTGGTCACTTATGCAGGCTGAAGAATTGTTTGAAACCACCAGTGAGGAGGAAGCTGATGCTGAGGAAGCTGGAGGCACAGATTCTGTTGTAGATGTTGAAGATCTTGGCAAAATCATGAGTCACATGAAGAAAGCCAAGGTACTGCTACTACAGCAATTACAGAGCTGCCAGGTCTTTGTTATTGATTAAAATATTGCCTGCTGGATTCAAACCTGCAGCGTCTAGTTAAACATGAACTGTTTACAAACCTGTCCCAGAAAAGAGCCTACTTGGAAATATGTTGCATTTGATTGTTTGCTAACTGGCTTTACCTTGTTCACTGAGCAAATGCTGCAGCATAACCCATTGCTCTGAGTCTGAATATCACACATCTGAATGTACAACTCTGCCACTGTTATCTGTGTCTAAATGCAAATCCTGTTGTTATACTTGGCTGAAAGGCAGGTGTGTGCAGTGCTGATATGTCATGGTGAGGGAGTGGAGTGCCAGCAGTACAGGTGGGGTGGCAACAGGCTGCTGCAGCATCTTCTGTGTCTTGCTTGCTACTGCTCTAAAGTCAGGTACTGCATTTCATCTCAACAAACCTGTAATTTACCTTTCTTACCTTGCACAGCTCATTGCTTTGCTGAAACCTAGCAAGCCTGGGCCAAGGTTACACAGCTGGACCCTATCAAGGCAAACCTTGTGTCACAGCAAGCTGAAGGCCTGGGAGGGAAGGCAGCTACAAAGAGAGTACAGGGATCTCTGATCCTTACTCTGTGGAGTGGGAGGGAGGTAACCCACTGCTTGCCTTCAAGTCAGATGTAAGGAGTAGCCCTGCTAGCTTAGGGGTTAGTCACCCTGCTGGGTGAGAGCTCCCATCCCTGAACAGCATTATTATCATCTTACCTTTTTAACATCATCTTACCTGCTGTGGTCTGCGAGGGGAAAAAAGTATGTTTTTCTCTTGTTGATGGGGAAAGGGTCAACGTCGTTTACAGTAACTGTGCTGTGAGGTGGTGCTTCTCCTGTATGTACTCACCACTAGAGGTCAGTGACAAAAAGGGAACTGTATTTTCTTAGCAGCAGGCATGAGAGATTATTTGAGACGAGCAGTTCTGTGAAAAATTAGGCCTTGAGTTCTCCCTGTCTGATAGAAATACAGCAACACCACGGCTGTGACTGCAATGATAAAATGCTTAAAGCTTCTCACACTCACTGATCTAGTGAAATCTGTGTTGTATGGTTTTGTAAATAGGTGAAGATTTCATTGAAGTCTGCAATTCTGGTTGGTGTGATTCAAACAGCAGATTTAGCTTTCTCATTGCCTTGGTTGGTGAGAGGGCTGTAAGACTGCAGGGTGTTTGCAGCAGCAGTGCCAATGTGTAGATCAGGTTCCTGTGCCTCAGACCCAAGTGGTGTCACTGATCTGAGATGGCTTCTGTCTGAGCACAGGTGCTTATTTGGAGCTGCAAGCTGCAGTGTTCCCATCTGCTGTCTTATCACAGGAGATGTTCTGCCCTGACAGCTGAGCACTGCCCTCTTACTTCTGCAGGCTGTTAATTCTTAGAGTGTAAATCTCTATGTGGGACCGTGGTGAGGATTGGAAATTGCACTTTTCTTCTGCATAGCAGTGTTCTGGCTGCTTTGAATGTGAGTTGTTGTCAGCTGATGTGACGAAGGCCTCTGCAGATCAACTTTTCTTTGTCTCTGCATTGCACCCTAGGACTTGTCCTAGGGTTTGTTTTGAAACTCTAAATGGTGCAGTTCTTGTTAAGTGGCCCTGTTTTGCTTGGCTGACCTGCCTACCTGCAGTTTACCTTGTGATCTACACTTCTGGTTTCACATTGCTGTAACTTGAGCAGGTAATGGAGAAACAGCCTTCAGCGATGACTTCAATGTGAGTCTTCAGTCCTCTTGGACAGATGTGTTGTTTCCAGAATGACAGCAGAGTAGAGCTGTGTGAATATTTCATGAGGGAGCCTGACCTGATGGCTATCCATAGCATTAGCTGGGAGAAAGAACAATGTCTCAGTGGTGAATCTCCTGGGGAATGTATGCATTTGCCAACAGGCTCATGTGAACACTTGAATTACAAAAAAAAATAAAATCCCACAGGTGCAGTTATTTACTCTAATGAAAATAAGTGCTGAAGACTTGGTAAGAAGGAGCAGGATGATCTGTGTCTGTGGAAGTAATTCATTGCGTTGGGGCAGTTTTGCTCCCAGGCTAGGAGGGACAGTTGTTCAAATGCAGTGCATTTTTGGCTTTCTTAAGTTACCTCACTATAGTATCTATGAATTTGTGCAATGAGAGGTTCTTTTTTATTCAGTTGTGTTGTGTTGTCCCTTTTGGTCACTGATTCTTTCTCAGAATGCTAAGCAGTGTGAAATCATTCTGACATTCTTTAGTGATGTCATCTGTTGCTGCAGTGATCTTTGCTTCTGGAGGCAGGTACATACAGGTTTCTGTATCACCTGTGTAGAAGCCAGTGCGTTCAAGTGTGGGTGTTCCAGGATTGTGTCACACTTCACATGCGGTGCGACTGGGGTTTGAAATATGCCTAGCAATTTCCAGTGTGGTTTTTTTCCTTTTGGATTCCAGTGTTGTGTATTAACTCCTCTGCATGCGGGAGATGTGTGAGGCAGAACCTCCTACTCTGACAGAGTTCATCTGTTGCAATGTTCTAGGATCCATCTTTTGGCCTTCGCAGGCCTGCTGCCATTTGTGAGGATCACTAGCAGGCAAGATGGATGAAAAGCTGTAGCTCATTGACCTGCTATTATGGGATAGCAAAGTGGGGCTGTAGCAGCAAGTACAGCTAAAAGATATTTACTCCAATCTCTGCAAGTGATCTTAATTTAATGCTGTGTTCATTTCCTGTTACTTGACTTGGTAGAAACCCAGGCAGAGCTGTTTTGCAGCTTGTTTTGTGTATGTATTGATGGCTGTCGCAATCTTGCGTGTCACAGCTTCGTGTTTTACACCAGTTTTTTGGGTTTTTGCAGTTTGTTTGGATCAGTTGAGATCCAGGGGTTATGAGGTGAATGGCAGAACCCAGCTGCTGAGTATAGCGGTAGCTGTTGCACTGTGTGCACTGGAGAAGAGATGGATTTTTGAGTTGGGAATGCAGACACGAGGTTTAAGGTGCTACTTCTACACACTGTGCCAAAAGGCTGGCAGAAGGAGGTATCAAAAGGGAATCATTCAAATGTATAAAATGATAATTTAGTATGAAGGGAAATTTCACTCTTTATCGAATCATTTTCTATCACTTAATGACTGTTTAATAGCTGCTGGAATGCAGCACATTTTTCTAAGTTTTTCGGTTTTTGAAGCTTGCTACCACGGGAAATTGTTGCAGATGATGCTTAGTGGGCTTCTGACCAGAGCACAAACCTGGTTCAGTTCAGAAGGCACCTACAGATCCATAAAGGGAAGTGCTTGAGCATGACAGTCCAGAAGTGGACTCCAGCCGTGGCCCAAGGAGGGCTGGGAGGTCAGTCTGAGCTCAGCAGCTGTATTTCCCAGGGCCCTGATGACTGGTGACTGCACACACAGGTTGGTTAACTCCTGGAGTTCTTCTGTATCTATTTATTCCAGCCTGTTTTTTTTTCTTTAGGTTGGAAGTCTTGACCTGTTCTACAGGCGCTTTTATGTGGCAGCAGAAGGCAGTGGTTCTTGTTGTAACAAATGGACTTTTGTGTAGTTGTGGTACGCTTCTGCTGTCATCCAGAGTTGTTGATGCACCCTGAAATACACTTACCAGTGAAATGTGCAATCTAATGGGTATGTTTGTGGCCTGCAAGACTGCAATTAATCACAGGGACACCATTTCTTAATGTAGATTATCTCCCACAGCTGGGAGATGGTGATAAACTAGAAAGGCAGATCAATCTAGACTAGTTCCCAGGGAATGAAACGGCTTTATTAACCTTCATATTTATAAACTGCAGCATGAGGAGTAATAATAATAATAATCTAATTTTTTTGGATGGGCTGGAAGTAATCAAATGGGCATGTTTTTTTGGCACAGCTCAGTGATGAATGCTCCTGTTTTCCAAACCAAAGCTTAATGGTGCTGATAATCACATTTTGAACATCAGTACAAAGGAGTGGGGAGGGTGTGAGAACAAGGCTCAGGTTGACTTCATAGGGAAGAAGGTATATCTCAGAGAGTCTGTTCAAGAAGCTTGTGTTGGTGCTGCATCTGTTGGCCATGAGGGAGGTTTCTCCATCTACTTTGGCTCCTCTTCCAAAACAGCCATCCTAAAGTGAGCTGTTCACCATCACTGGGGCTGGGAACTGCCTTGCTCGGTGCCTCCCAAAAGCCCTCTGTGGGAGAGGAAACTTCTAATGACATTGGTTGGAGCCGGGCCTGACGTGAGGCAGTGAGTTTTAAGGCTTACTGATGGGTTTACAGAAAATATAGCGTGTGACTTCATTACAAGCAGATGATTCTAGAGCATGCAAAAGCTGGTAGCTGTGTTCTGCCTGAGTTGAAAAAGGCAGACTACTGAACTGCCGGATGTAGAAACAGTTAAAAATGATGCGTGCCTTCAGAGATCCCCCAAAAGTTGTTCTGACTTTTAATGGGTGAGGGATGCACTGGGAGAGGGGGAAATGTGCTCTTATTTTCACCAGTCTCTGGGCCAGATTTTGACCTCTGCTACACTGGCTTGGAATTCAGAGTGATCTCAGGTTTTGAAATGAGCTTTAATAACTGGTATTTAATTGCTGAGGGGCTGCTTCTAGCCCTGAAATCCGGCCCAGGGACGCTTCACCTTCTCCACTTCCTGTGTTTAAGTCTTTCTTCTTTATGTCTTAATACGTTGTAATTCTTCATGTTAGACAAACAAAAGAGATTTTGAGGCTTGACTTCAACTTGTAAATCCTGGGAGTACAGCGTTTTTCTTCCCTTTTCCACCAGGTAAAGGTTACCTCTGCCTGAGCAGTCTCACTGTCTCTCCCTGATGAGCCTCTGTAGAGAGCTCTGAGGTCTAGGAATAAAGAGCCTTATTTCTGTGCTGGTTGGTAGATCCCATGCCCCTTGCTGCTCTTTCATCTGTTATAAATTAGTCAATAAGTGGGTAGTGAGGCAGAGCTGTTAGATATAAAGATACAAAACGGGCTGGAAGTTGGAAGTCCCCGTGAGTATT